AATTTGTAATTTATTATTCAAAATTATGATAGAGAGTGAAATTTGTCTCTCTAAATTGGAGAGGCAATCTTATTCTTTAATTTATATTTAAAGAATAAAGAGTCTGTTGTACTCTTGTTTTTATGGATAAACTATTTATAATAAGGAGTTTAGGGCATATAAAGAGTCATTTGGAGATGTTCTTACACGATAAATTTGCGATAAATAAAAGTAAAGAACTAAAGAGTATAATTAGGATTGTAAGTCAAGAATTTGCAGTCATCATTCTTTTCAATTTTCATCAACTACGGATTCTGTGTTTGAGAAAAATCTAACTCCCATTTTGTATTTCAAATGACAACCCATTTTGCAAAAGGAAAACCCACAACTTTCTTTCTCATTCTCGTATCTAGTGGTCATAATGCAAACAATTACAAGCCAAAGTATAAACTATTTACGAATAAATTGGACATGTATATGAAAAAAAAAAAAAAAAATTGGAAGTGAAAAAAATGAAGAACAAAGCCAATAACTTTTTATTGACGTTGAATTTAAGGTGAAAAGATAGATCTATAGTTGAATTTAAAAAAGGAGATATCTTAAATTGAAAGATTTATTTATTTTTAATTAAAGACTTTGATTACAATTTTACCCTTCAATAAAAAGAAGACGGGGGCTAATTATCATATCCTAATGGGTAAAACTCATTGTTAAGGGCCCAAATAGTTATTAGGATATGCCAAAACCCTCTTTTCAACCCAAATACTTATAAGTCTATGAATAAAATACATTGTTTAAAAAGGCTTTTAAAAAAGGCCCATATAACTAATGGATTGAACTTATCATTAGAATTTTAAAAGAAAACAAAAATATTATCACACATCTCAAAATGTATCATAAAATTTACAATATATCTCAAAATCTCAAATGATACCTCGTAATGTCATTCACCAAATCATCACTTCATTTTGAAATAATGATTGGGTTGTGTAGTATGCAGTATTATTTCAACAACATATATAATTACACATTATCTACGTCATTTGAGATGTAAATTTTAGGATAATTCATTGGAGGTATAATAATAATATTATTGCATAAGAAAAAGCTTACTGATTGTTACCATCCACCACCGCCCTTGTTAGGCTTTGAAAACAAAACTTATATGGTTTATTCACCCAATATATTGGGGACATGGGGTATAACTTATAAAACTAGTTTGTAAAGGGAGGATGTCCAAATCTTAACTTAGTAATTTTAGACTTTAGAGTAATTAATTTGGAGTTTGGGCATCTACTTTCAAATAATAGATAAAGCCCCTTGTCTTCTCTCTTTAGCATTATGTTGGTTGACTTTGTGAAATGAAAACAAAGGATCTTAGATTAGAGGTTATAATATACAATTATAATTCTACAAATAGTTTTTTTTTCTTGTTTTTAATTTAATTCTTATATTAGTTGGCCCCTAAAACTCTTAATAATTCCTTGCATTGGTTGATTAATCAGACTCAGACCTAATCGAGATTCCTCATCTGTCATTTTGGCCCATCAGATGCCATGGAATACTCTTCTTTTTCATTGAAGATAAAACGAGAGGCTAAGTATCATTTACATCTCGTTATCGTTTAATAATTAGAGTATAATATATGTTGAGTCTTGAAATTTTTCTGAATCATAATACAAAGGGTCCACACAAACTAAAACACAAATTACATATCTCCCAACCAGAAAAGCTAGCTTTAAACGTGGTTGGTTTTTGCATCATTGGTTCAAATGTAGGCGTGTGAAGCCGAGCTTGTTTTGCTAGTATACATCACATGTCAGAGGATACCTTCATTATAGAAGAAGAAGTTGACCCTCAAGCCATCGCTGTTATTGATAGCTCATTCTCTAATTTCTTGTCGTCCAATGAGCCTACTGGCAAGATGTTTCTTCAACGACAACTGGCTAGCGCGTTAAGACTTACCATCAATATTCAATCTTAATCAAGATGTCAAAATATTTAATTTGATTGATCATACAACTCGGTTGAATATGCCCCAAGTATGTTTTGGCTTGACAAAAGCTTAATTTATAATTATATTTGATAAGTTTATACTGTCAAGAATGAGTTTCTTAATTATGGTGGCAATTTCTTATTTCTGTCCCATTTGCCGCTAAAGAATGGTGATCGTTAATTAATAAAAGTGCTAACAATTACATTATGGTTGGACCCAGTTCATAATTTCTGCTCTTCTCTTGTTGGCGACTCAAATAAAATAGAAAGGAAATGGAGGTCATTTTATTCTTCATGTACAGTAGATATGATATCTCTAATATAATTTCAAGTAATAACAGGAAGGAAACAAAAAACAAATTCAACGCTACAGAAGTTTAATATCATGCAATCAGTTGGCTATGAAATGACATACATTGATTTTAGAGTAGAGTCTTAGCTCTATCTTATTTCAAAAAAAAAAAACATGACTGCATGCAGGGTCACTTTAATAATGGAAGCCGCAGTCTTGTACACAAAAAGCAAACAGACGAAAACAATACTTTTAAAGGATGCGATAACTTCACTATATTGACACTGATACATAAAGTGAGTGAAATGCATGAACCCTAGGGTCGACGACACTGTATTTTCATTGTCATATCTTTTTGTGAAACATCCAAAGTTAGCAAGGTGACAGCTTCCAACACTGGCTACCTATACCGCTTTCACTTTTCTTCTTTATATCTGATTGATATTCCCAATGATCAATCTTTAAAATTTTGTTTCATTCTCTACTTGGTTCAATGCAATGCTCTTTCCACTTGAATTCGACTGCATGCCCTAAAAATGACCTTATTTTTTTAAAGAGAGAGCAAGTGAGAAGTAGGTAGTTCAGCACTCACTGCCATTATTCTGCCTTTTCCTACTATGTATGATACTATCAAACAAGGCTTAATTAAAGCGACTAAATGAAGTTAAACAAGTCATATTATTTTACAATAACCGATTATTAGTTGAAGAAATTAAGTTTTATTATATATAATTAACTTATGAAAAAGTCTTCCCATACATACTTGAAGCATGTGCTCATACTCCAACTTAAAAGGTTTATTTAATGTAATATATAAATGCTTTTTGACCATGTTCAGTTAATGAGGCTCATATACATATAATTACATATTAATAGTTGTATTAATTCAAGCACTGTTGAATCTAATAACTCACTTATAGGACGAGACATGAGGTTTTAATACTATAAAAATGATTAATAGGTGGATATGATATGGTATAAAAATGATATTCCCTGTGCAAGTTGACAGTTGTATTATTAATTTTATTAATATTAGTCAACAATGGGGCGGGAGGAACACTTCTTTTTCTTGGTAATTCAGAAGTTTAAGTTTTAAATTAAATCTGATTCCTTTGCAATTAGCATATATTTGGTTTCATTAACGGATCCATCCTCCTCATTAATGTTAATACTATTTGGATTCGTATACCTACCGATGGTGCTTGAAGAAAGCTACAGAAAGATGTAGCTTTCCAGCTATAGCCAAATGGGTTCCACAGAGCTTGAAGTAACCTAACTTGCTTCACTACCTATGCAATAATTTAAATAGTACAATAAATACCCCATTTTTTTATATACTAATATATTATTCTTTGCTTTGTTTCAATTATATAGTTCACCTTCAAACTTTCATCATGTACAATTTAAAAACTTTGGAATTTAATGAAACCCACAATGCAAGTATATTTAGTTTTAAAATAATTATATCAATAAACATTCATTAATTTGATGCATAAATTTAGTTTGGAACAAGTACTGTTTTTACGAAATTAATGTTTGGGCACAGGAGGAGAGGTTAAAGATGCCAATCAATAATTGAATGATTTTGCATAAGCATTAACTCAACCTTCTTAAGATAAGGTGAAAAGATATATAAAATTGTTGCTAAGTTTATAGAAGGCAAATCATGGAATAAAATAAAATTAATTAGGTGTCTTCTAATCAATCCTTACAAATAATGAAATTGGGAGTCAAATACTGGGATTACTGCCAAAACCCTTTAAGAAGATCAACCAATGAAATACAACAATTGTGAGTTGTTCCTCATCCATCTAATCAACATGACTTTATTATATAAAATAATTAAATAATATTAAGATGCATGTATGTATCACATAACAAGGAAGAGTTAATTTAATTTTTCTATATTTATATATGAATATTAGAACACTACCCATTTAATCCAAACAAAAAGTAATACTTTAACATTTTATTTACTTAACATAAGCTAATTATATGTATAAATTAAACTTCCAAAGGGTGGCTACAAATGGCAATTACTGTAAAAGACAAGTTTGTCTTTATATCTTGTTTTAGGTCTAATAGAATATTAATTAAAAGGCACCCAACCATTAACATAAGAAATTGAACATAGACTGTTTCCACTTGAAGAGAATAAAAATCAATATGGGTAATGGGTTTGTGCATTGATCTCATTGTTTTTGTTTTCTCAGCGGTTTAAGTAATAAATAAATCAATTTGGAAATCATTTTTATTTAGAAACCTAGCTATCATTATCAAGATGGGCTTTTGATCTTTTCACCTTTTAGGTCACCACTATAACTAATATTTTTATATATTTATACAGATTGCCTGTCTAAAGAAGAAAAGATACAATATGATATAACATATTAGGTACGCACTATTCCTCTCATAATACTTTACTCAATAAAAATGCATATATTATATATAGCTGTTATTGTAATTAGGTTTTTTAATGAAAAGTTTACGTATCCAAACATGCAACTTCGAGCTATATATATCAAGTCACCCTAAGTACTATGTATATGATAAACGTATATTAATTATCAGTATGGGGATCATAGAGTTATTGATAGTCCATATATATATATATATATATATATATATATATGGTCTTTCTGATTTGATCAATTAATTGAACTTGTTAATGTTATGGGAAACTTTTATCATATTCAACAAGTTTAAAAAACTAATTGTGTGCCCTGGACCATCGTCCACATTGTCTACTTGTCCCTACTATTTGTCCAACTTGGGTTTCTCTACCAAGGATGCACATTTTTTCATGAATCTGGATTGCTTTTTAACAGCCAATAATCTAATTTTTACTTCATGAATTATTTACAAGTGATATTGGTGCTTATGAGATTTATGCAGAAATTCTCATGTTGAGTGGTCATATTGTTGTTCCCAATGGAGACATAAGCGCGTGCTGATGTTTAAGTCTTTTTGTGCAGGTTTTTGAAGAATTTGATCTTGTTCCTATAGAAAGTGCTTCCCTTGCACAAGTTCATGTTGCTCGTACGCATGATGGCAAAAAGTTGCTGTTAAGGTTTTATTCACTGTCATTTTTACCTCAAAGTTCATTTAGTATGCTAAGCAGAGTCCAAGTTTCTATGCAAATTATGCACAAATATAGGACTTGAATGTTTCTTAATTGCTTTCTATGTCAAAATTATTTCCTCAACATTCAAGTTCAGTATACTCACATGACCGATACCGCGGCTGCAGATCATGCCACTGTGGAGCTGATTGTGAATACCCTTCATAAGTTTTTTCCTTCTTTTGACTATAGGTATGTTTCTGCATGGTTCATGTGCTTGTCAATTATCCCTCCATCTTCCAATCATTGATAAAGCATTTATTTGCACGAAAAATAACTATAATATTTGGATGCTCCATTTTTTGTATATACCTGGATGGGTCACTCTGTATGCATCTATTAAAATGGTTTTCACATTTTCTGAAACTTCTAGTGTTAATTGATATTTTTATGACTTACATGTGCAGATGGTTGCTTGATGAAATGGCGTGAAAGTTTGCCCAAGGTCAACTACTTGCTTATTGCAAGTACTGTTGCTATGTAATTGAACTTCTGTAGGCTTGTTAGAAATGAAATTCCTCTAGGTTTCTATTTTCAATTATTTGAAATGAACTTCTGTAGACTTGTTGGAATGAATTGTGCTACTGACTTTGGGTATTAGAAGACCACAGGAAAGGATAGGCGTGTTCACTACAAAAGTTAAGGTGTGGGGATGATAAAGACTCTGGCTTTCCACCGAGGTAAAGCTCCAAAAGGTGACCGAACTGATTGGGTTATGCATTTTTGTTTTTGGTTATGCACACATGATAGTGCAATTTTGGATTTTCATGGCTCATGTTGCTAAAAAATCCATGTATGGACTATTGACTTTATATACAATGAAGATAATTGATGTTATTGATCCACGTTTTTGTATTGTGTCTCTCTTATTTTATCGATGTTCAATGTGTTCACCAAGTGAATTATAAAGAACAGCAACATTGCTCTTAAATGTAATCCTATTTGTTGTTAAATTTCAGTCGCTAAAATAATAAACAACCTGGACTAATCCATTATTACTGACTACAAAACTTAGTTTCCAAATCTCATGTACTATGGGCAATTATACCACTTAGATGTAGAAAAATCTATTTTTCTAACCAAATGATTAGTTATGAAATCAAAGAAAGCAAATTGGCCAAACACTTCTAGCAACTAAAATTGAGCTGCTTTTGTCATTGATAATTTAGTCATTAAAACACACTTTTTGCAACTAATTTAATGGTTGCGGAAAGGAGATTATCATATTTCGGTCTAACATTCACCGACTAATTTTTTTTTACAATTACAATTAAAGTTTTAGTCACTAAAAGAGGCATTTTGCAACTAAAAAAGTAGTTGCAAAATGTTTTTTACCAAATTACCCTTAAGCATTTGGCATCTATTTTTTTTTTGGAAATTAATATCCATTTTTTATCACTAAAAAGCTATATTCTGCAGCTAACCAAATTACCCTTATTCATTGGGTGTCTAATCTAGGGGACTATTTAATGAGACAATTAGTAACTAAATTGCTGGTCGCTAAAGAAAAAGTTTTGGCGTCTAACCATGAGTTTAGTTGCGGATACTTTCTGTGATAACGATTTTGCAACTAGTTAGCGACTAAGAATTTTAAACGTGATAAACAATCGGTGTCTAAATTTGACTATTAACATCTATTTTCAATAGACGTCAAATGCCATTTTTCTTGTAGTGGATGTATTTCTACCCATTAAAAAAAAACACTAAACTCTTAATTAAACCTGTTATATACATAATAAGAGAAAAACATTTAGATTATATTTGATATTTTATTATTTTTTACATTCTCCATAGCATCATCATTTATATTCATTGAAATAGAAACACGCATGACTAACCAACAGATGAAAATTCAATTTGATGATAAGGAAAACTCATTTTTATTTAATTTTGCCTTTTAATTTAGGGGTTTGAATTTGATAAATTATTATATTATATTATATTGATGGGATATTGAAAATTGCACCTGGTTCAGTGTACTTGTGTTGATTTTTTTTTTTTTTTTAAAGCCATACAGTGGATTCCAATTTTCTCATTTTTTTTAATCTTAAATTTTTTTTTATGATTTATTTATCAAAACCAGGGAGTACTTTACTTGAAGTAGAAGAAGAAGAAGAAGTCCATGATTTCAAGAAAACTAATAAAATATTATAAGATAAAGATATGGTTATAAACAATAAAAAGATATGGTTATAAACAATAAAATCGGTGATTTATGGTGAAGTAGTTGTGATATGACGTTACATAGTAATTAATTACAATTAATCTCGGGGAATTATTTTTTAATTTCCAGTGTGAACAATATTCCCTAGTATCCCTAAACTTAGCTGTTGAGGAAAGGATATTTTATTATGGAATTACCAATTTATGGGGACCTAATCCATGTTTAAGCTCCTAGTTTTAGGTCATTACCTCTAATATTGAATATGATTTAATTCAAGGTTAAAGAAATAGACCCCCGAGTTACTGAGTATGATATAATAACAAAAATTCTCTTGTTCATAAAATTTAGTTCATTATGAGTTAATAAATATTATGAAATAACCTTCTTATCGTTTATTTTAACATTAGAGAAATTTCTATTACTTTTTAAATTAAAAAAAAAAATTTATTATTTTATCATACTTAAAAGGAATTAATACCATTAACCTTTAATAATATAGTATTTTTGGCTTTAAAGAAAGCAGAAACTGGGACATGAACAGTTGTGCTTTTGCAGGATCACTGCAACAATTTTATTTGATTTCTTGTTTTCCATATGATATTCATAAGAAATTAAAGTCCATCCTTATAATTAAAGTGCAATTTTGCATGAATACCAATAGAAATTTAAGACATTTGAGCACTCCTAATAAGAAGATATCTCGTGTGTTCAATCGTGAATAGAAAGACAATAATTTTAATATTACCTGACAATAAAGGAATAGTACGATATTCTTCAATATATAATAATTTATTTGATTACCGTTTTCCATTTTGTTAATTACATTACAACTTGAAGTATGTTAAATTTTCTAACAATTAAGATGTGAATTAACCAAACATATAATCTTGATTTGATTGTAACAACAATCAAATCAAGTAAAATAGAATAAGATTTTAAAAGTAAAGTATGGTTTATAAATATAAAATTCACAAATCACAATCGTCAATAATTCACAAGTGTTAAAAGGGGTAATTTATTAGAATAAAGTTGGCGAAAAAACCCCGAAAGTTTAAGCTTTCATTTTACAATGGATTAGTGATATGATGAGCTTAATTAATTATTAATTAATAATTTTATCTAAATAATCTAACTTTAGGCGTTAATATTATATAATATAGAGTAAACAATTTTTTACCATCCAAGTAATGGTCTAATGATCTTTCCCATCCAAAAAGCTTCAAAATACAATTTTACTCTCCACAATTCAGTTTCGTTAGTCAATTTCATAATAAAGAAGGGTAGGATAGTCAAAAGTCTGTTATAAGTAAGGGCAGGACGGTCAATTAACATTAATTTCATTTTTGGGCTTTTTGTCGAATAGGTGGAGTGCCAACTTCACAAACGTTGATTTCCAATGCCGGAAATGATTCAAAAGCCCAAAAAAACAACACGAACAACTTCGAAAACAATCCTAGTCAACCTCCAAAGATCAATCTCCTTTCAATTCCTTAGAAACAAACTCCAATCGAACCCAAAAAACCACTAAAATCGAAAACCCTAGGGTGAGTGGAGGTTGGTGAATGGTGAGTGTTACACTATTATGAATCATTATTCTGTTATCCTATTTGAATTTAAAGTAGAATAAATGTTTGTTTAATTATTAAGGGAACCCATTATGAAAATCAATCCTACTCAAATAGGATTTTTGGTCTAAAAATGAAAAGACAGTGGGATTTGTTTTCGTATTATCCAACTCTGTTCAACTTAAAACACTTTTCTACCCAACTTTATTCAACTTAAAACATTTCTCTTTCTGTCATTCAAATCTGAAAATTAATCCACCTAAGACCACCACCACCTGCCAGCACCTAGCCGCCAACGACGTGGTCGGAATGGTGCATGATAGGTTGGATTTGGCCAATCGTGTGCCAATTTGGCCGTTTCCAACCAAATTCACCATGGATTTGGCCAGAAATGACAAGATCTATCTAGCTATCTGGCCGTTAACAACGACCAGAGCTATCTGACCAAAAATGGTCATATCGACGCACGACCAGCCAGATCCAACAGGTCGTGGGCCATTGCAATGACTGTCGTCCGGAGGTGGTGGTCGGCTGTCCTCTTGGGTGGCTGGGGTACTTTAGTTAATTTTTAAACTTTTATTGTGGGCATGTTTAGCTAAATTAAAAAAGGTAAGGAGTTAAAAATAATAATAAATATTTTCAAAAAATGTACCAAACAACTATTTTGTCTTAAAGACATTTAAAAAAAAAAAAAATGTACCAAACAACTATTCCAACTCTAATATAATTTTTAAGAGTAATGCTAGATGTACAAAGACTCTTACAAAGAGTCTTTATACAAAGTGATGTGACAATTGTCATACCACTAGTTTACATCAATCTTCTCTTTCTTTTCACAAACTAGTGGTGTGGAAACTGTCACATCACTTTATACAAAAACTCTTTATGAGAGTCTTTGTACATTTAACATTTCTCAATTTTCAAATATATTACCAAATACATTTTCAGAATTTGATCATATTCGATTTAATCCAAATCAACTCAACTTAAAATACTTTTTCAAAATAACATTTTTCAAATAATCTACCAAACATGCCCTAAAAAACCACTTATTATACTTTTTAATCCAAATAAGATAACATCATAATAATAATCTAGAATAGTGTAACAAAGGGGCCTGGCATTTGAAAGAAGGATATTTTATTATGGAATTACCAATTTATGGGGGAGCTAATCCATGTTTATTAATGTCATTAACCCTTTATTATATATATGGTATTTTTGGATTTAAAGAAAGCAAAAACAGGGACATAGAATATCATCATTGCAACAATTTTATTCAATTTCGTGTTTTCCACATGAAATTAAAGTCAATCCTCATAATTAAAGGGCAATTATGCATGAATACAGAATAACAATAGAAATTTGAGCTCTTCTAGTAAAAGGATCATGAGAATAATTTTAATATAAAGTGACAATAAAAGAATATATAATAATTTATTGTTAAATTCTATAACGATTATGATGTTAAAAAGTGAATTAACCAAACATATAATCTTGATTTGATTGTTATAAATATAAAATTTACAAATCACAATTGCCAATAATTCACCAATGTTAAAAGGGGGGTCGTTTATTAGAATGGATTAGTGATACGATGAGCTTAATTAATTATTTTATAATATAATATTCTTTAACTGATAAATGCGCGCATGTTTGTCCAGTGAGGATATGCGATATATTCTGCAACAAAGTATCAAGTTTACAAAGAAAGGGAATCAAACCTAAAAGGTTTAATTATACGTTACCTTTTGATTAAATATTTAATCACATATATGTTTAGGTAAGGCTGAAGATCTTATTTTTCATTGGTCACTATCTTAGTATATTACTCTTAAATTTTAATTAAAAAAATCGAAGAAAAAAAAGGGGAAACTTTAATATTTAATAGGCATTAATTATCAAAATATAAACTAATTAAGATCTGGAAAACACTTAGAATATTAGACCCTTTTCTCATACTCAAATTAAGGAATCATCCAACTTTAAATGCTTTATTAATAAAGGTCATTTTCAATATTTTTTTGATAAAAATGCCCTTAACTCGTGCCGTTCAAGAGTACATCATTTGTGCGCATGGATACA